CCAAGGACCTTACAACAAGTTACTGAATAAACTCCTTGGTTTAGACTCACACGTGATGAAGTTTTTCAGCATCAGTGGTTGGAATCTCCGAAGAGAATGTGTGCAATGTGCCAAAATTTTCTCCGAACACCTCAAGTACTCCGCTCTGCTAACATAAGTGAGGCAGCGTGGTGGAATCAGGCTCTGGTCAAAATAATCAAAGTGAGGAAACATGCATTTTTCCACAGGTTTGTGAATTTTTAAAATTTAACTTTTGTTTTTTTGACTCAACACCTTTCATGCCCATTAGAGAAATCACTTCTGTGAGGACTTTTCTGAAAAACGTTGATTAAAGGTACAAAAAATGTAAATTTTCAGTTACCTCGGACTCTTAAGCTAAGGAAATAATTTATCTTTGGTGGACATTTTCTCACTAATTTTACCTCTGAAAACAGGTGACCCCCACATCCTTCATTCGCAAATATCTCAACTTGTATTCAAGATTGATTTTTTCCCCCATCCAAATAAAGACAAGTGAACAAGCTTTATGATGGTACCAATAACCCTACATGCCCAAAAATTGACGAGAGCCTGATTCCACCTGAGTTCTTTAATGGGCATGAAAGGTGTTGAGCCAAAGAAACAAAAATTTGATAAAAATTCACATATCTGAGGTAAAATGCAAGTTTCTGCACTTTGATTATTTTGACGAGAGCCTGATTCCACCATGCTGCCTCACAATTAATGTTTTCTTTGAATAAGAGAGACGAAACAGTGCGTGGAAAAATGATGCTGGCATTATATTATTATCCCAAGATCAGTGCACGTTGAAGTTGAGTCAACGCAATCGTGCAACATGCAGAGACAGTGTCTGCGGTAGGATTGTCTCCCAATCGTACAGACATGATATATATATCAAAATTTGTGGCGCAACTTGTCGAATTTCCTATTAGGTCTATCGAACATAATAACTATGCTATACATGGAGTATAATAGACGTTCGAGCTTTTGAACAAGGACTTATTTGTATCAATGTACTAACAGATCAATATTTTTGTAAACACCTGTTAAGCTGTATTCTACAAAGTTCCTTTATATATACATATTAAATTAAAATCCCAGTGGGTGGTTTCTACCAATTTTAAAAGGTTTACGATGCATGCAGCTGGAGCACTATAATTAGATCGCTTTCACCAAGTCTGTCATTTAAAAAAAAAATTGTTATCGCGGCATTTGCTTTTATCAAACACGTTTTTAGAACATTTACTGTAAAAAGGTATTAGCTATACAATTATTTAGTTTGCAACAAGTTTTGCCATTAAAAAGTGTTGTTAATTGGCGTTAGCGGTGACGTAGGCCGTGAGAAGCGGTGAATGTGCTACGACAATCCCATTTTCCGTGTAACGGAGATTTGTAGCATTTTATGTACATTTGTGAACAAAAGGTTGGGTTTGTTTGGGTTTTTTTGGTGTCTTTTTTATTCAAATCTAGATGTGGAAAATATTATCAAATCAGGACAAATTGATGCAAACTGCTGAACAAAGTATGGGTGACATAATTGATTCGCTCGTTAACAACATTATTATTTGAGGGTAAGTTCGGACACCAATTTGACGCAACTGTAAATTTTAATGTCAGGCATATACACTATATATATATATATATTTATTTATTTATACGCATACAGTCATAGTTAAGGAAATTCAATTTGGTCGATTTTCCCACATCGATTCAAAATGTTGCCTTCGAGTCGCCTGAACATTTTGGACCATGTAGAATCATAATTATATATAGAAGAAAACGCAGACAAATTATTATATAATACTATGGCCTATGAAAAGTCTGACTTCATTAAGAAAAATGTAGGCTATCTAGAGCTGTCATATAGTAGGTTTATGTAGGCCTATATAATTCCGTACCTCAACCTTTACCCAGATGAAGTGCAATTATAATATTATTATATAGGATATTGTGCCTCATGCAGTCTACACCAGCAAGTGGGCATAGGGCTTCTAATATATATA